TGTCATGTATATGACATATAGGTGTATTTATATATTCGTGATAAAAGCAAAGAGGGAAAAAAAGAGAAATTTTTTTGGCATTTACTTTGTCAATCTCATACAATTCCACGTATCGTATAGCACGCTTTGAATAGTAGAAAATGGTGCGTTCATTTGCATCGTATCCGACAGATGATGATTTGATGTCTTCGGAAGAAACAGGGACAATTTTCGGTGTCATCTACTTGGTTCTTACTTTTACCCCATCTATTGTTGCGTTTCTAAGTTTTTTCTTAAAATTTATCACAAAATTATCGTTTTTTTCTAATGTTGTCAAATGGTGTTTGGATCTTGGTACAATAGGTATTATCGAGACGATATTTGTTAACGCGATAAAATATATCAATACTCATGAAGGTCATACCATGGCAACCGAAATTCCTTAGTATGAACGCCTGTATCGAATCAATGAGATAATAATTAGACCGAAAAGTTGGAGACGTAGTAAGCAGTTTACTCGTATACTGTTTTCATTCCAAACAATGATAATATACCTGCCAGTGAGTTTTTCAATCCTATGGGTGCATTTCGACCTAGTACATCACTGCCGAGTACAAATATTTCCGGTTCCTGTCAAAACTCGACTATGCTGAAAAATGTAACATCGTCAAATGACTCTAGCATTCGATGCGTGAAGTTTATTTTCAAATGGAATAATATTACCCATGTAATCATAAAACGCATTTTTAACGCGTTTAAACGTGTTTGGCATTGAAATGCGTTCATCATGGAGGTGTTTGAACGTCTTGCACAGTCTTGCATGCGTTCAGATGCGTTTCGTGACTAAAGCACATCACAACTGATTTACAGTATTTTTTAAACGCGTTTCAACGCGAACAGTATCATTTTTGCATCCGAATGCGCTTTCCCTATATGCAACTAATGCTTTTGAGTTCCAATCGTGCATGTAAATGTAATTTCTTTTTCTGTTTTGCATAGACAAGATGCATCTGAACGCGATTCCAGCTGCAAATTCACATAGTGCTATCAATAATGCAGGTTACTTCGTCACAGTACGCGTGACTAGATCTCGAACAGTCAACTGAACTACGTACTTTTTATTTAAAAAAGCATAAAAATTATATAGTTAACTATATAGATGACGTATTTAAATCTTACTGCGTTTCGAATTCTTAAAGAGGACTCTTCTTGATAATCTGCAATTTCAAATATCAGTGCCTAGCATTGTATGAAACAGAATATAAACACAAATAGTTGGATACGAGATATCTCATCATATTTGTATTCAGCATATAAAGTCATGAAGACTTAGTTAATCTGTGAAATAGAAACAAATGAGTACACGTATCAAATTTTGAAATGTACAGAACATTCATTCGAAAACAATATTACAATAATATTATTTTGCTACATGTCACTACCAGTACTTTTCTTTCATGAAATTAATTTTGCTCTTGTATAACACATATGTTAAGCATAACAATTTAAATTTCAAAATAAATAAAATTTAAATGTTAATCCTAGAGAAAGTACTGAGTTCGGGGTACCCATGTACTGAGAAAGCCTTAGCAGGGTACCTAATATGGGTACTTCGAAAATTCTCAGTAATTATACTTATGTAGGCACTGCAAGGGGTATCCATAAAAGTAGGCTCACTAAGCAAGTACTGATATGGATACCCGCATCTATAATTTTACTGAGGAAAACTCTACAGGGTACACTAAATTTGTTGCATTCTGCGTAGCGACTGTTCATTCACCGTTTCCTTTTTCGTGCACGCCTTCGTATAAACAACTGAGCAAAACAGAAGAAATTAATTTGTTTTCATACTAATTTTTTCTAGATTATTTCTTCACTATTTCTTGACTATTCCCTAGTCGAGAACTTTCCGATCTTGATCGTAGATTAAGAGTGGACTATCCTGAGGTGGCCTCATGGATACTCGACCAACTCAAGTTCGGTCATATCTCGACTTTTGACCTGTTGAGTTTTCGGAATTGAAAAAATTAAATATACCAAAATAAAAAAAAATGTAATGAATCGTTTTGATAGAAAAAAAATGCAAAAAGTGAAAGGTCAGGTTCAATTCTGAACATACTGAAGTTTTGGTAGCAGAGTACCTAGAAATACTGTAGAATAAGACCAAGTACTTTGGTATCCAAAAGTTCCTGTGACATGCTGGTAACAGGGTACTTTTTCGAGTACCCTTAACCCAGTATATTCTCTAGGGTAAGCAAAAATGTCCATTTTAACTCAAACATGAAGTTCAAAGTTACTTTCTGTGTAAACTTATGAGAGATACAAACAGATAAGAAGTAGAAGAAACGAATGAATCTGGATGTAGCTCAGACACAATGGTCGAATTGCTTTCAAACAGAACTTGAAATAGAATTGCGTCTGAATGTCGCTAAAAACAACTTAAAATAGCGTCTAAATGCAGTCAGAACACAAAATTCTTTAAATTTACTTTCTTCAATTTCCACTAATTTTTTTGAAAAGTAAATTCTATAAAATTTATCTTCACCTCGCTATGATTAAAAATTTCAATCAGAGTAAAAAAGAAAAAGAAAAAAATAATTACTTAATTTGAATTTAAAATTTAAATTAATGTTTTTTTTACTTTAAAAAGACAAAAAAGTTAAGATGCTGCATCCATTGAGCATCTATTGAATAAGCAATTAATTATCGAAAAAAACGTTTTTCTCGTATTCTGTGATCCAAAAACTATAATTATTGTTTTTATAAAGTTAATCATATGTAACCGATGTCATGTATGCAATTTTAAGTGACACTGATAACATAAAAATTTGAAAATATTTCAAAGTTTATATAATTTAATGAAGCAATTGCTGTATATTGATCTTTTTCTCCATAAAAAGTAGCATGATAATAACAGATAAAACTGTACGAGTATTTATAGCTTCATGATAAGTATCCTAAAACGCGTTTCGATGCGTTTCTCTATTAGAACGCGTTAGAACACTCGAAAATGTTGCATTTTGGATGAATTCAGACGCATGAAATTACATGGCTGACAAATGCTCTTCAATGGCATCAGATAACCGTATTTATTTTTAAAATAATTCTTTATTTAACATATAAATGTTCATTGAACCATAAATACAATTCGGAAAAAAGACTGCGAACAAGAAATCGTACATCTATTTGATGCTTGCCGAAATATTTTGATCTATGCCTAAGATGATGAACATCAATAAAACAAGCATTTATCTATCACTCGACGGATCACATCCTTTCATGGTTAGTATTAAAACATAAACTTCATGTTTTAATATTTTTATTTGAAAAAAAAGATCATTTATCGTTTAAATAATTTTTTTTCAACAATAAAAAAGGGCGTTTCAAAAAAGATCGAAACTAAAATAGCTGCAACATAACTAAAAAAAATTTGTGAAATAAAATTATTTACTAGAAGATGTCCTTTAAAATAGAAAGGCATAGTTTGATTGAATATAATAATATGAAGTATCGTAGAATGAACTAAATAACATGAATAATTAAGTCGTGCTAATGGAGTCCAAATAGGCCAAGAAAGTATTGTATTTACTATTCCACCTTGATTTGTACTACATAAAAATACAAGCCAAGCAATAACAATTGACCAGAATGTTCGTGAAAGTGTTGTATATGCAACTGATTCTGATCGACTTAGACCAGGTACACGGATATTATTTGGATAAGTGATAAATAGACATATCAGAGCAATCGCAACAATTAGAATAGTTCCAATAATTTTACTATATTTATTAATACGATATTGGCGGCCTGTAATTGTAATAATATATCCAGTTAAAATTCCAATAGCATATGCAGATATCCGACACCATGGTTTAACATAAATAGTGTTGTAGTAACTAGGACCATCCTATGACAAAAAAAAAACACAACAGAGTAATAAACATTTTTCACTATAAAAAAATTACATTATTAGCTCCACCACCTGGATAACTGAGTGACATATTCGGATAATAAAGAAGAATACCTAAAGTTGATCCAATTGTAACGAAAATAAAAAGTATTGCAATGACAAATGCTATAGTCTTTCGTCGAAGAACAAATGGAATTAAAGTTATTGGTGCAATCCAATGAAATTGCATATCATTATGTAGATACCATGCTATATTTAAACACATCTCATCTGGTCTTACTAGATTACCAAGATAAAGAATCGATGTCCACCAAGATCGTGTACGACAACCTTTTGATTCAAATCCTTGTTCAATTGGATATATAGGTCCTTGTCCAAAATATCCTGTTAAATTTATACTAACAAGAACCATTAATAGATATGCTGGTGTTAATCGAATATATCGATGAATATAATAAAGAAACATTAAACGGGATGATAGTTTTTCTTTTTTCACTTGACGAATAAATAAAATTGCAGTTAAAAAACCACTTAAAACAAAAAATGTATCAACACTAAATTGAGCATCTCCTACTAATTGAAATGCTATATTACGTGTTGCAACACGAATATCTACGATATTACTTGTATAAGATAAACCAAAAAGTATTGAATGAGCAATAATTACCCAAAATAATGATAATACTCGAATACCATTAAGAAATAAAAATGATTCATTCTTATCACCATTAGATTTTTCTTCCAATGTAAATATTCGACGAAGTGATTTTAATGCAGAAAACTCTGCTAGAAATACTGTTCGTGTTTTTGATTTAAGAGGAAAGTTTCTTGATATTTGTTGCAATTCAGATTGAATCGTTGTTTCACCATCATCAACTAAATGATTATATGCACTATTATACACTGGTAGATTATGAACTAAATACAATTTTGGCCTGTGAATAAGATCAAGAATTGTTCCAGTAAGAATAAGTAAACCCAAAAGTGAAAGAATGACAATAGTTGCTATTGCTCCGCTTGTAAGACCTTTTTGACCATTTGGTGGATCATTAGAACAAATAAGATTCTGTGAAGTTATACCAGTCATGTTGAAAAGTGTATGAATTAAAGAGGCGACTGATTGTCGATCACATGATGATGGAACACAAACACCAACAACAAGAGAACCCATTGAAATTAAACCAGATCGAGATGCTGGTGGTGTAAGAGTACCTAAAAAAAACTCTCGAATGTATTCTGTAATAAGATGAATATACATACAATATTGTGTATCGAATGGTTGGGAAATGAATATTTTCTTTGATATATCATACATTGGATTTATACATTCATCATAATTGCCTACCCAATAAACATTTCCTTTCAGTATTCCTGATGGTAATAGTTTTCCCCAAGCATCGACTACTTTCATTGCCCATGTCTCTTGTTTCATTGCGGATCGAAGAATTAAGTCAAAATCTTGTTCACATGGATTACTGTTGATATTTGATAATACTGAAGACATAGACTGTAACATTTGTTCAGGTGTCAGATTGTAGTCGACATTATTGAGCAGATTGGTAGATGAAAAATTTTCATATTGAAGTAAACGATCAATTACCAAATCAAATCGGAGTGGAATGATTTGAGCATTTGTATTCAGTAGTAAAAAAAATAATAGAAAAAACTCCATAGTCAACATAATGATTTTGTTTAAACTGTTGATTAGAATGTTGCATTATATACACATGAAACCAATGATGATGACTCAGTTCATACCAAAAAAAAGAAAGAGAACGCACTTTTAATCATTTATCTGTATGATTAATATTGGTCTTTTGGTTCTTTGGAAAGGATAAGAATAGGCAAATGACCTCTATGAATTTTTTTATAAATTCATCAATAATCAATCATTTATTAATAAAATAACGTTCTTGGAATATTTACCTTCACTACGATCATGTATTATTTCTATTCTCAGGAAGGGTGTGGGTGTGGGTGTGTGGGTGTGGGTGATACTATTATCATTCTTATACATCCACACTCACACCCACCCACACCCACACCCACACCCACCCCACACCCACACCCACCCCACACCCACACCCCACACCTACACCCCACACACCCACCCACACCCACCCACACCCACCCACACCCACCCACACCCACCCACACCCACATCCCATACCCACACCCACCCACACCACACCCACCCCACCCACACCCACACCCACACCCTTATCGTTTATGAAAGAGCAAATAACAGGCTATCTTCCTATGGATTTATCTCAATTCCAATGATTCTGACAAAATGTGACTTTTTTGAGGGGGCCTTAAAAGAAGAAAAAATAAATAATATTGTATCGAATTTAGCTCGAACCTTGTTTCCTGAATTTTTTTTCATACTTGACATACGTAAAATGTGATATTTTTGACAAGTTTAATATACGAAAGTTTTCGTAACCCTTACTATTCAGTACTAAAATACTCCATTTTTCACGGGCTTTCATTTGATATAAAATTCATTAGTTATTCTATTTGAAATAATGGCGGTACCTCATGGAATAATATTATTTCCAACCTAGTACTATTGACAAGAATGATTGATATATTTTATTAAATATAATGTTGTTGCAATTGTCTCATATAATTGTTAGTGATAGATAAGTAAGTGTGATGCTAAATTATTTCCAGTCCAGTTAAATAACATTTTAATAAAGTGACAATAGAAACAGCAGTATTTCTGAATGATAAAACATCTGGTCGTATTTTCTTCTTCATGTGAACTATTGTAGATATAAAGTCATAATCGTTAACATTTATATTACCTTTTTCAATGATGTCTGTTCAAAATGAGACAGTTATAACGGATGATATTTCTCGTTCTTCTCATCGTTCTACTTCATACTGGTCTCGCCATAAAATATCGTTAAATGTGATTCTTAAAACAATTGGAACTCTTTTTATTCCACTTCTTCTTGCTGTATTCACTGTTGTTATAACATTTTCTCAACGAGAAGAGGCTCGTACTCAACGTCAACAAGATTTACTTCTATCAAGAGAACAACGCCTAGAAGATCAAGAATCAGCAAGACTTCAGCGCATGCAAGAATGGAATTTATCTGTTGAGCAACGTGAACTTGAACGTGAATCAGCAGCAAAGATGAGAGCTTTGAATAATGAACAACGTTTACATGAGTTGCAAATTCAGTCGGAAAACCGTCAAGATGCATTGTTTGCTAATTATCTCACTGAAATGGGTTCTTTTTTGTTACGCGAGACAAATGGCTCTTCATTATCAAATGATCCAAAAATGGCCGTACTTGTTCAAGCTAAAACTCTCCATGTCATTCGTCAAATTGATGTTGTTCGGAAACGACAGCTCATCGCATTTTTGTATGTCTCCGGTCAACTATATGTCAATCGAGATCCGATCAATTTATTTGGTGCTGATTTGAACAATATTGATCTTCAAGGTCATCCGATCTTACAAAATATTTCATTAGCTGGTACGTATATTAACAATGCTTCATTTATTGGTCAAGATTTGAGCCATGCGGACTTGTCGGGTGCACAAATCAATGGGGGTAATTTCGATGGAGCCACTTGTCAACACATTAATTTTGATTATTCACATTTAAATCGATCGACTTTTGTTGGAGCTAATTGTGTTCGAGCAAGTTTTCGTCATGCATATTTATACGATGCTAATTTTCGTGAAACTAAAGTAATGGATACAAATTTTGATGATGCTTATCTTGTCAATGTTGATTTCTCTCATTCAAATTTGACAAGCTCTTCATTTATTAGAACCAATTTAGCAGGAGCAGTCGTAAATAAAATACTAATTGAACATACAATGAAATTTATAAAAACTAATTTAGCTGGAATCGATTTTACTCGTGTTAAGTTTTCCAATTACTTTCTATCCAGAATTTTATTCGCTGATGTTAATCTTGTTAATTCATCCTTCAAAGGTGTTAAACTTGAATATGTTAATTTTTATTATTGTAATATGACGAGCGTTGATTTCTCATCTTCTACTCTATCTAGAATCGAATTTAAAGGAAGTACACTGGTAAATGCTACATTTATGAACGCATGGATGAGTATTGTTTTCCTATCGTACACTAATTTAACGTATTCGAATTTTTATAATGTTCATTGTGCGATACATGGCTGCATGTGGGAAAAGGCTCTTGTACTTCAGAAAACTATTATGCCAGATGGAACGATTAGTGATCGTATTACCGAATCATTTCTAGTAAATGGTCATGCCGATTGTAATAGATCTATTAATGTCGGATGGACGAAATTCTCTTCATCTGATGCAATTATTGTTAGTCAACTTAAAAATGACAGTAAATGTCGTTTCGTTCCAGTTAAGCGTCTCACTGATATACTCTCATCATTTTTTTCATTTGATACTATGAGTCAAGAGATAGACCTTCGGTTTTTCTATTTAGAACTAATAAAAGAGAGTCGAGCTCTCGCACGCATTCGCATTCAATGCGGAAAGGATATCACCATATTATTACAACAGTTTGATAATCGTTTTAGAAAGCACAACAGCACACATGAAATTCGACGAAACGCACCATTTTCAAAGGATAATTTCTACTCCGTTCAAATTCCTTTGAATAAAGCCATAACAAATCTGATTTTCACTATTAAATTTCCACAGTATGATGGGTACAAAGATATTTGGTGTGAATTCGTCGAATTGGACATAACTCCATTGATTCATGCTCCACTGTGACATTAAAACTGATTATTAATAGAATATATTATTCTTTGAAACAGTCATTTTTCAATACAGAACATATTCGATTACTGTCTATTTTGAAGGGTGTGGATCTGATGTATACCACACTCACACCCTCAAGGTGTTTTAATTTGCGTTTGTACAATGAATAATAATGAATTCAATTTCACTATCTATTCCCTTCTCTGAAAGAAAGGGTTATATCGCAGATAATATGACGCCGAAAAATAAAGTTTGTCTGTCCAAGTCAATTAGAAAACAGTATGAGCTATACTACTGTGGGGGCCAATTAAATTCTCTCCTTGATATTTTTTTGTTTTTATTACTATAGTTTTTTTATTTATTAATCCACAATATATAGCGAGGAAACCCAGAACGTGCTGCATCTTTTGATAAGTTTACGATCTGAGCATACCAAAATATGCAGCACGTTCTGGGTTTCCTCGCTATGTATTGTGGATTAATAAATAAAAAGACTATAGTAATAAAAACAAAAAATATCAAGGAAGGCATTCAATTAACCCTCACAGGAATAGGAATAAGTGTCCATCTTCGTTAAACACATTCATCAAAGATTTTCGGGGTCGAGGAATCGATTGCTATCATTAGTTTTTGAGAATTCTTTTGAAATAATTTTTTTTGAGAATACATCCTATTCCACGATGTTGTACATTGCGGAACCAGTTCTGCCCCCGAAATCAATTCCGTCCAATTCCGGGAACTCGATAATAATTCAACACAAGATGCTTAATAGATATTAACCAAGTACTTTCGATTCCCGATATTCCACCACTGCAATCAATTCCAGTGATTTCGGAATCGGAAGGGTATGGGTGTGGGTGTGGGTGTGGGTGCGGATGTGCGCGTAGGTATGGGTTTGGGTGTGGGCGTGGGTGTGGTGTAAAGGTGGGTGTGGATGTGGTTGTGGATAAAAAGAACACCCACACCTACACCCACACCCACACCCACACCCACACCCACACCCACACCCACCCACACCCACACCCACACCCACACCCACACACCCACACACCCACACCCACACCCACACCCACCCACGCCCACACCCACACCCACACCCACACCCACCCACACACCCACACCCAGCCACACCCACACCCGAACTCGTTTGACTATAAAAACATTCACCTGTGATTTTATTAAAAAAAAACTGTACTATTTGTGCCGACAGGCACACACACGCGTTGCCTAGAATGACATTATATAGAGATCACTCTTAAATACGATCATGCTTCGATCCTATAATATATCAACCTTAACTGGTATCATAGATATATAAAATCAATCTTCAGTGGTATCACTCGTACGTACTGTGCATCTCAAAAGTTTTTCCCCCCTTTGTATTTTTTAATTTTTTATCACTAGACCTTTTTAATTTATTAACTTCCTATATATGGAAAAAAAGCCCAGAACGCGCTGCACCTAATGGTATATTTACATTGAACAATAAATACAGTTTGAGGTATAAAAAGTGTATTAGAAAAGGACGTGACATTTTTTTTACTGTACAAATTGATCAAAATCTTAAAATGTATAAAGAGTAACTAGTGTTTAGAATCATTTTTGATTGAACCCAGATAGAGATCTGCGGTTTTCACCGTTAGAAAGAGGACATAAAGATGCATCGAATTCTATGCTTCGCATATCTCTGGCAAGTTTTGTTAGTGTCTTTATTGAACTTTTCTTCAAAAATTGACTTTTTCGTATTTTTTGAAAAAGACGTCACTTTATCCTCTATAGAAGTCTTGATTTTTGAAGAAAAGTTGGCTAAAGACCTTAACAAAACTTACCAGAGACATGCGAAGTATAGAATTCGATGTATCTTTATGTCCTCTTTCTAACGGTGAAAACCGCAGATCTCTATCTTGGTTCAATCAAAATTTGTCCTAAAAACTAGTTACTCTTCATACATTTTAAGATTTTGAACAATTTTTGCAGTAAAAAAAAATGTAACGTCTTTTTCTAATACACCTTTTATACTTCAAACTGCATTTGTTGTTGAATGTAAATATATCATAAGATGCAGCGCGTTCTGGGCTTTCTTTCTATATATAAGAAGTTAATAAATTAAAAAGGTCTAGTGATAAAAACTAAAAAATACAAAAGGGTGTGGCTGTGGACATTGTCTACTCATTATCTTCACCCATACTCACACCACCGACACCCCCACACCCACATCCACAAAAGAAAATACAATAAGAAGATCATATGCAGTAATGTAATAATTACTATATCGATGAAAGGAAGTATCTATTCGACTTTTGTAATGTCGTTGTGCGTTTTTTCCCTTTGATGCACCGAAAGACTATGGAAGACGTATGTTTTTCAAGCGTTTCCCTTCAGCTTTCATGAAGTTGATCAGTTGCCAAATACTTGAATGAGGACGTGGAATAGGGTGTGGGAGGTGGGTGTGATTCTACTCTTGTTTCACACGCACACACACTCTCACTTTCAACTTATAAATTTTCGACATTTTTCCTTTCGATCAAGGTTTGGAGAATTCACTTGTAGCATCATACCATGCCTTTCAATGATCGCAATATTTTACAATAATGACGTTATATGTGAAATAAAGAAATTATTGAGTGAAGATCATACTACAAACAAGACGAAATACAATATACTATAGATTAAGAAAAAATAACAGAGTCAGCGGGATGACTTTGATAACAAAATGGTATTTTTCATTTTCTTTTGTAGCCTGAGATGCGTTAAACTGATCTTCAACATATTTAATATATTTTATTTTTAGTAGTGTTCAAATCCATCACACTTAATTCACGGTGTGGGTGTGGATGTGGATGTGGGTGTGAGTGTGAGTGTGAGTGTTCTCTTAACTCACCCACGCCCACACCCACACCCACCCACACCCACCCACACCCACCCACACCCACCCACACCCACCCACACCCCACACCCACACCACCCACACCCCCTGATGAGTACTTAAAAGAACTTGCTTCCGTGATTTTCTACTAAATAAAATGTATATTATCAAATCAATCAACGAAGAAGTTAATTTAATCCAATATGAGTTTTATTGATTGGTTAGAACAAAGAAAGATTTGAAACTGATAAAAATGTTAAAACAAAAAGAGTTTTTCATATTAAATTTTTCACTTTCTATTGGAATGCTCTCATAGATTGTCTATTGAAATAAAGTCAAGAAATTTGGACCAGAAATCTCAATTGAAAATGGTCCAGTAACATCTTCAGCATATGTTGTAACAACTAAAATATATGTATTGTAATTCTGGAGAGAAACTGTCAATTGAAATTGACTATTTCCGCCATTATCATCATCGTGAGCAAGTAAATTAAAAGTTGGATATAATGGATAAAAATTTCCTTGATAAATATATCCATAAGTATCAATATTACTCTTACTGGTAAATTTATAACTGCCCGTTGTATTGACAATCACATTAATTGTTTCAAAGTAAAAGTTTGACGAAGAATTTTCATTACGAGCATACTTTTTACTATTTATTGCTAATAAACTTGAATAACGTGAATTGTATGAAGTTGGTGATGCTACTAAAAATATACTAGAATGGTCAATGTGATTTGTTTTCATTTTAAAAACGAATATATATCAGTCAGGTTCTTCATCTCTTCTCAAACTACTT